ACGCCAGCGCCGCAGGGTCACCCGGGGTGGCTCTTGGCTGTCCACAGGCTGCATCCTACTACTGCAACAAGCTGGGGTTTGAGGAGCTGGCGTACCGGGGGCTGGAGACCGGCAGAAGCAGGACAAGGTAAGGGGGTAATGGGCCTGGCAGAAGTGCCACTGCTAGGGCAGGGGAAGATGAGGTGGTGTCAGACACACGGGTGGTGCTGAGCCCTGTGCGTGCCACACAACCCATCACCCGTGGTGCCTCAGCCCCGGGCTGGGGCTGCCTCCCCACCGTGGCACTGTCCTTCACCTCTCCTCTTCCTCGCCAGATCGTGTTTGTTCTCTCCTCCGCTCTCAACCCCGGGAACGAGGGTAGGTGCTGCCAGGGGGGATGAAGTGGGAAATGGCTGTGGCAGAGTAAAGCAGTTCTGCTCATGCCCCTGGCTGCTCTTGCTCTGGGCAGAGATGGGGGAGCACCTGGTGAAGCACGGTGACGGCGTGAAGGACGTCGCCTTCGAAGTGGAGGACTGTGACTTCATTGTACAGGTGGGCAGTCCCTCCGCTCCGTCCCACACGGCCCCCTGGGACAGTGGGGGGAAGCAGGGAAGGGCCTGGGGATGTCTCCCCCCAGCCCAGGGGAGCTGTGGCAGCAGAGGGTCTCTCTCCCTTGATCCAGAAAGCCAAGGAGCGTGGAGCCGTGGTGGTGAAGGAGCCCTGGGTGGAGCAGGACAAGTTTGGGAAGGTGAAGTTCGCAGTGATCCAGACGGTGAGTGGCAGAGCAGGGTCCAGGGGAGCAGGCTGGACCTGGGAAGTCCCCCTGGAAATGAGGCCACAATACAACTGTTTTCCCCCTTGCAGTATGGTGACACCACTCACACCTTGATAGAAAAGCTCAACTACAAGGGCCTGTTCCTACCCGGGTACCACCCGCCCCTCTTCAAGGACCCCCTGCTGCCCAAGTTGTGAGTACTTTCCAGAGGGTCCTGCCTGGCTCTTTGCTGCTCTGTTGATGGGATATCCCATCAAGGAATTGGATAGGTCCCTATCTCCTTGCCCTGGAGCCCCCCATGCTGTGGGTTGCCCCTGAGCCCAGCTGAGAGCTCCCTGGCTTCTCTCTGCAGACCAAGTGCCAAGCTCAGCTTCGTTGACCACGTCGTGGGGAACCAGCCTGACCTCCAGATGGTCCCAGTGGCAGACTGGTAAGAGTGCAAAGAGCTGGGGGGATGGAGTGGCAGCAGCTCTCTAGTGGTCTCACCACTTCCCGTGGTGGTGGTTGAGGCTAATTAAGCCAGAGCAGAGCTTCGTTAGTGTGGGGATGGAGCGAGGGGTTGATTGTGCCCTTTGTGGCCTGGGCAGGTACCAGAAGAACCTGCTGTTCCACCGCTTCTGGTCAGTGGATGATAAGCAGCTGCACACGGAGTTCAGTGCCCTGCGCTCCATCGTGGTCACCAACTATGAGGAGACCATTAAGATGCCCATCAATGAGCCGGCGCCTGGCAAGAAGAAGTCCCAGATTCAGGTGAGTGGGTGCTGTGTTTGATCTATCAGCCTGCCTCCACATCCAGCAGGGCTTTGGGGAAGGAAAAGGGAGCGAGGGTCAGTGATTCAGAGCTGGAGCAGACCAGCTGTGCTAAGGTGGCTGCTGGAAAGCAGACCTGGGTCTATTTGGGTCTGCCAAACTCTGGGAGAGCTGCTGAGTGGAGCCACTTTACCCCGATCTCATCAACAGTGTCTTCTTCTCATTTCGTGGTGCCCCTGAGCTGATTTTGCCTTTTAAGCCCACTCTGCACACTGTAGCTGTGCTGTCACTAACGCTGACATCTTTCCCCTGTAGGAATATATCGACTACTACGGAGGGGCTGGTGTCCAGCACATCGCCCTGAACACCCCCGACATCATCTCGGCGGTGAGTGCAGCCCTGGGAGCTCCAGCCTGCTGCTCAGCACCTGGGTTTGGGCTCCTATCCAGACCAAAGGCTCTCCAGAGATCCAGGGGGTGGGGTGGGAATGAAGCATCCTGATCAGCAGTCTGGGGAGGGCGTCCGGGGCCCTCCCGTTCCTGGTGCCCAAAGCGAGACGACGGCACAGCTCCCTGTGCACAAGGCTGGCCAATGCCATGGGAACACATCTGCCTCGTGACACAGCCCATCCCAGAGCATCCTGCTGGCACAAACCACCCCCAGCCTGACCCACACTGAGTCTCCCCTGCCTTGCAGATCACCAACCTGAAGCAGAGGGGCATGCAGTTCATGGATGTGCCCTCCAGCTACTACCAGGTGCTGCGGGAGAGGCTCAAAACTGCCAAAATCAAAGTGAAGGAGAACATTGACAAGCTGGCGGTGAGTCAGGCCAACCTGAGAGGGAGAAGGTCTGCCCAGGGCTGGGCCTGCTCCTCAGTGTTTTGTGGGGATGCAGGTGAAACAGAGACCTCCTTGCTCCCCTGCGGATCTTCAAGCTGTTACCCTGTTTCTTTTCTCCAGGAACTGAAAATCCTGGTGGATTTTGATGAGAAAGGTTACTTGCTCCAGATCTTCACCAAACCAGTTCAAGACAGACCCACGGTCTTCCTGGAGGTGATCCAGAGGCACAACCACCAGGTGGGTTTGAGGACGTGGCTGTGAGCCCTCAGGGCCATCCAGCCCTGTTCTCTCAGGGTGCTCTCTGCCAGCCACTTCTGAGCCTGCTGTGCATCCCCACGGTCTGTCGTCCCCTCAGGGCTTCGGCGCTGGGAACTTCAAGTCTCTGTTTGAAGCAATAGAAATGGATCAAGATGCCAGAGGAAACCTGACTGTCCTGGAGCCCAACGGGGAGACCAAGCGCATGTAGAGTATGGCAGGAAGTGCTGCCCTCACCCTCAACGAGCTGAGTCCCAAACGAACTGGGAAACAGCCAATGGTTTGGTAAATAGCCCAGACGTAAGTGTCATAAACCCAGGGAAGCTGCTGCCAAGTTGGACATGGAAAAGGACTCAACATCTATCCCAACCCAGCCCTGGCTCTGCCCTCCTGTGACTTCCTGGGAGACAGGGCATGGGAAATAGCAAGCACACTCTTAAAAAGCAGCTTAGTCTAATCCAACCACTGAATTCTTCACAAAAGGCAGATTTAAGGCATGTGCCAAAGTCACGCAGCAGTAGAGGAAGACAGAAGAGACAACTGGGAGTGCTCAAATTCAGTCTATCCAAAGTTCTAATTTTAGCTATGCAGGAAGCAGGGAGAGGAAGGCATGGAGGTGTCTGCCCTCCTTTTGTAAGATTTTGTTTCAGTTGCTTTTAGACTCAATCTTGAATTCGAATTTGCTGAGAATAAACATGGTTTTAGTATAGTTGCAAGAGACTGGAATGAGAATTAATCTACTTTACATATTTCAGCCTTCCCAAGGCAACACAGTCTCGCTCTAATACCTGTAAATTCCTGAATTAATGAAGGGTTGGGGTTTCTCCCATGTTTCAAGCAGTAATTGCTGGCATTGGCAGCGAGTGCTTGGCTCGGGTCCTGGCTGCACGTGCCAAGTCCCTGCTGGGCATTGCCCTGGTGTTGTCACTGACCTTTGCACGGGACTTCCCCCACTGACGCAATAAAGCCCTTTTCTGCCCCAGCCTGAGTGCCTGGTGAGTCTGCAGAGCCTCCACCCCATGTTCCCTGGGCTGTGGCTCCCCAGGAGTCAGAGGCCTCAGCCCGTGGCCGCTGCAGAGCAGGTGGTGGTGCCTCCAGCTCTCCCCGTGCTGCACACTCACCCTCCACAGCCCCCCTGCTCCCCACGTCCCAGCACAGGGCAAGCTGGGCAGCCAAAGGCCCTGCCAAGCCCTCGGCCCACGATGAGCTCCTGGGGGCACAAGTCCTTCCCAAGCCTCTGCCCCTCCAGACTGAGCCCTGCTGCCCCCGGGGCTTGGCTGTCCTGCAGGCACATCCCTTCACTGACCTGGTCAGAGCCGAGAGCTGAGCTGGGAAACCTCCAGCCCAGGCTCTCTCCTGGCTCCACCAGCCCCTCCACCTGCCGCTGCCCTGGGTCTGTCCGTGAAGCTCAGAGGGGACACCGTGACCCACCACATCCCCTGAAGGAGCCTCCACCCACACCCAGCCCACAGCTCCCCGGGGCTCTCCTCACTCCCCAGCGCCGACAGTTCACTTCAGGGCTGAACAAACTGGGCTGAGAGAAACCAAAGGGGCTCTGGCTCCAACAGCATCACAGCCTCACCCGAAGCAGCGTCCCAGTTTGTGCCTAGGGGCTCCCACCTCCCTAAAGAGAGTGCCCAAAGGGAGAGAGAGCTCAGAGCCCCCAGGGAGGGATGCTCTGCTCCCCACACTGCGTGGGGACACAGCCTCTGCTGCAGCTCCCCAGGGCTGCACAGCTGCTTAACAGAGACATTTAGGCTTATGGACTCCAGTCACTCACCTATTTCTTCCATGCAATATAATGTTGCTTCAAGCCATTTCCTGCTCACCAGAATGAACACTTCCAGCAAACTCTGCTGAAAATCCGTCCCTTGGACAGCTCTTGTTCTGGGTCTGCCTCCCTGAGCTGTCACAGCTCCCAGGTCTGAGGGCCCTGAGCTGCCCTGGCTATGCATTAAGCACAACATAATTTTTCTGTAAGAAAAGTCAGTATATTTATGGTTTGCTTTATAAAAGTTACTATAATACAATGGTACATAGTATTCAATTCACAAAAATATGAACAAATATATACAGCATGACACATCCACAACAAAAACACTTTCCTCAAAACAAGATACATACTGGTGACAGGTTCTATATGCACAAAACATCCCTAGGTTTATAAATTTGCTTAACAAAAGAAAAAGCAGAAATCCTAAATCTTCAAAGCAGAGTTGGTTTTGTTTTAAGGAACTTAAAAAAATAATAAGTTTTTTTTCCATTTATTGCAAACCACCTGACCTGCCTCCTTTTAAAGGAGGCCCTTGATTTCCACCGTGGGAATCAAAACGACCAGAAAACTGCAAGGACTGGGAGCTGAGTGTTCTCCACTTTGCTTAAAACTGCCCCTTTGTTTTTGAGTGTCCTTCTCCAGGTGTTTCTTTTCATTTGGACAAATCCTAGAGTGGCAAATAAGGAGGAAACTCATAAAAACAAAACAAATATTAAATCGAAAAAATCCAGTTGCAAACTCGCTTAAATACATTTTAGGGTGTCTATTAGACTGTACACATTTCCTTGCTTGAAATAAATAGACTTTGCACATTAGGTTTCAGACTGAGTGGGGGAAAGAAGAAGCCTTGACTTGGCAATTTTTTTTGTCTTCAGTTTCTTAATGCTTCTAATTCCATCTATTTATTTGACAAACCCATATTTATACAGAATTTACATTATACAAAGCTTGACACAAGCTGTAAATGCCTCCAGCTCCTCTGCCATACTCAGTCCTTCCTCCCCATCTCTTTGACACGATTGAGAGCTGGGATCTGTTTAAAAAGAACTCCAAATTACAATAGTCACTTTTAATAAATTATTTACATGCTCTTGAAGTACAAAGAAATCAGCAAAAAAATTTCAACATGTTTCTACGAGAAACAGTGTTTGAAGAGAAGATTCTTGAGTTTGCCTATGTACAGAAGATGCATTTTTTTTATACTTCAAAATCCTTTTTTCCTTAATTTTTTTTTATTTCATACAGAAATGCACTGAAATGATCCCTGAAAAAGGTCACAGAAACTAGAACTGAAACTACTGTATACTTTGCTGGAGTTTAAAACTGCTGGGTTGGTTTTTCACCTTGTAGAAAGAAGCTGCTCTGTACACCACCACCAAGGGCACCGAGGCCTCCCCTCCTGCAGCCCAGGGCTCAGAGAGCCCCGGGAGCGCCGGGGCGCAGGGTGGCACTGGGTGCCAGCCCCAGCTCTCACCAGGGGCACTTGGGCAGCCACAGGTTTCCTCTCCAGACCAGACTAACATGATTCTTTGTTAGTGCTGTGGGTCCAACCGCTGTTTCTTCCTGGGGAACTCTACTGGGAGCTCAGCTCTTCCAAGAATCACAGGATTTGCCTGTGATCCTAAAAAGGGATGGATGATGGGCAGTTTCAGAAGGACCCAAGTGATTTAGGTGCTCATGGTCTTTGGCACCCAAATCCCTTTGGTGCTCCTAAGAATGCTGTGAAGGACCCGAAGGTGACCCTGACCTTCCTCTCTGCCTTCCTCACCAAAGATGAAGGCAAACTGCAGGGGCTAATCCCATCCAGATCTGCTGGGAAGGAGAACTGCCAGCAGGGACTTCGGGCCCTTTGGGTTGTCCTCACCCCTACAAAACCACCGTTAACGCAGTGGTTTGATGGACCAGAGGGAGAAGGTCAAGGACATGGGCCAAAATGCCACACACAGGGGCTTCAGTTCTGAGACACAGGAAACTTCTGTGCATTTCCAAAGTTTTGAAAGTCAAAAGCCAAACTGTAGAGATGCCATCTGGAGCCTCAACACAACATGATGAACCTTATTTGAAAAACTAATAAACTAAACCGAGCAGCTGGTTTAACTCCCAAATGCCATCGCGGCAGTTCCAATCAACATTCAGTGACAGAAACTAGTTGTGCTTCTCACAATTTTAGGTTCTGGGTCACCATTACCCGATTGCTGGAGAGATTTCTAAAGGGAGGGTGAGGGTGGGAGGAAACAATAAGCCAAAACGAAAGCAGAGGTGAGACTCTGGACTGTCCAATCTCAGTGCCAACCTGCTCACCCTCAGCCAGAAATACACGTGGTGTTAAGGCAGCTTGTAGCAGTCTGTGTGCTCCTGCTCTGTCCAGGCCTTTTGGCTGAAGAAGAAATTCAGATGCAGAGGTCTGACCTACATTGTGACGAGCCCCACACTGCAGCGCAGGCCTGGCAGTTCCACAGAACGGCCGAAAAAACTGCCAGGAACCTCTTTTGCAAGGCTGTAACCTCTGATCGTGGAGGTTTTGAAAGGCTACAAGAATGCAGCTGTGCAATTTGTTCTGTGGGGAGAAGATGTTTAGTTACGCAGATAATCTTCCCATTTCACAACGACATTGCAGCTTCCTCTGACGAGCCAATTAAAAAGGGTTTGAGTACAGCTAATCTCTGCTTTTAAAGCAGAGTTGAAAACCTGATCCTGTCTGTACCCGAACGGTCGCATAACCTTTCAGAACACATCCAAAGAAGTATTTCTTCGGGTGTTTTTGCCCCTTTCTAAACGGAACCTCCTGAAGAACTGCAACCTCCACCTCAGCACACCTACAAGGACAAAACCGACGGAGAATTCATTTCAAAACATGCCTTCCAAAGGCAGAGGAGCATCCCCCTCATGCCGCAGGATTGCTCTTGGGGACACTTTCACCACGACCCTCCTGAGGGATGGGACCACCCAGGCCAAGTTACTGAGTGACAGAGGGAGGAGAGTGGCAGGGCACAGCTTGCTCCTATCACAGGAGGCGTCGCCCACGTCCAAGGACAGAGCAAATACTCCACGCAAAAGGCTGCGAGGGCAGGGGAACGCAGATGAGCACGACAAAAGGGAACACCAGACACACCAGTTTTCCATCCACGGGAGGCAAACCCTGATCAAAGGTGGGCCACAGTCTCTGCTTACAGCAGGGCAGGATTTCTACGGCGCCAACAGGGGCCGAGGTGTCCATTTAACCTCAGCCTACTCTGCAGGCAAGAAGGACAGATCTCCTGGGAAAAGACATCCCCAAAGGCCACAACAGCTACACAACTGACTCCACGTCCTACCACTGAGCACAGTATCCAAGGATTTCTCCCCTGCGGGTGCAGAGGTTCTGATCCCCCATAGACCAGCACGGCACAGCGAGTGAGAGACGAGCCCAGGGCAGTGAGCTGAGGTCTGGTGACCTG